TGATACTCTTTAAGAAGCATATAATTATGGATCGCAAGGAATTTTTTTTTTTAAACCCTAAACCACGTAAATCAAGTTTGTCTTAAAAACAAATGTTAAAACCCACGTAGAAGAGAGAAAATATATGGCACAAATTAATATGGATTGAAATAAAAATTAGAGTAGTATATTATTTGAAAAAAAAAAAAAAAAAAGAAAAAAAAATTGACATACTCGATCTTAAAGCACAATAATCATTAATCATCCCTTAACAAACTTCATTCGTGTTATATATTCTTCTTTTCAAACACAAATTGTATTGATATATTGTGGTAGCATGACGAATTTAGGTTTGTTTATTTGATTTACAGTTCAGATCATGTAAAACAATCACAAATTGATTTATGGTTTAGATGTACAATAAATAGAGTGACGATATGTCAATTTGAAGACGGGTTACTTGTTGAATGTTTTCTTCAATAGCTTGATAACTAGTTCAAGTCCGTAAAGAGTTTTTTTTTTTTTTTTTTTTATTAATCTAGGTTTTTGAAAAAATGACCTAAATTAATAACACTTCCCCTAAATATTACTTTTGATTTATATGATGAACTTTGTTTGTATAAGAAAAAGTCCATTTTATTGGCTTAGTTTTTAGACAAATTATATTACACCGATGTTTTCGATGCAATCAACTAAGACATTATTTACCTTATTTATTAATAAAACTGATCTGTAAATTTATTCTTTCATTCCTCTTATGTAATGTTTGTTGTGAGTGATTTTTTCTTCAAACTCAGAGAATTGCAAGGTTATAGTTCAATCTAGAACCAGTTCGACTCAACAGATTGCTCAACCCAACATAAGCTCGTCGAGTTGTAGCTCGACCTAGCACAAACTAGTCACAACCAATCCTTACAGTTGTTCAACCAGCTCACGATAACTCCAGATCCTGGATATCTCGGAAGGGATTAAATTGACAACAATCTTGACGCAATCTCAACGCCCAATTGCAAGAATATCGGAGTTGCATTTCAATCTTAATTGTAATCCCTTTATTTTCGTTCTTTCCTTTATACAAAACTTGTATATAAACCCCCTCCAACGATGAGAAAGGGGTTAGCAAATTATTCAAGGATTGTCATTGTAAGCTCTCACAACAAATACAAAAATAGTGGACGTAGGCTCAAGAGTATAACTCGCCGAACCACTTTGAAACTTTCTTGTCATTTACTTTACTGCATTTTCTATTTACATATTGCTGGTTACCTGTAATCACGCACACATAAGTTCTGATCCCGTTAAGATCGATCGGATCACCCTAGTTGGTGCATTTTTGCATCAACATTTTGGTGCTAGAAGGAGAGCCTCTGCCAAAATCTCAGAATTTTCGACAAGTAATTCCAGTGACCTGACCCGATCACTCTAGGCCCATAATGGTGCGTACAAGGTCGAAAATCAGCACCAGAAACCACGACAACGTGGAAACCACACACCAGGAGGTGCATCAAGATGTCACTGGGCATCGACCACCAATGCCGTTAGTGCAGCAAGGCACAAACCAACTGAGGGCAGGGACATCAAATCCCGAGAATATCCAATTGGTGGAGATGATCAGAACGGGTCGCACAAGTTGTGCAATAGAATGTGGCCGAGCTGAGAAAGCAAAAACTAGCCCCCCAGGATCCTGACTGACCGCGCTTCACAGATGTCACTCCAACAGGACGACACTCAATCGACGACCAATTTGGTTCGTCGGCACCAAATCACGATAGACAACCCTGGCACCGCCGAGAACCTTCTACACAAGAAAGAGAGTCCCACGAGCATACTAACCTTGGGAGGCGACCGAGCAAACAGCCAATAGAAGAAGACAAAGACAATGGTCGCCAGAGGGATACCCGACCTGCTCGGCGGTATCCCAACATCAGCGTGCTGGTTTTAACACATGCCCAAGACAGGCTTAATCCTTGAAGCTAGCGAGAAAAGTCATGTGCGTCAATCTGGCAATGACCGACGTTCCGGTTATAACCAACGTCACGAGCAACATAATGATGAGCATGATAGCACCGACCAACCCAACCATCATGACTCAACCTCACGTATCAATGTGCATAATGGAGGGGGCTCACAAGCAATAAATTAGCGAACTCACCTGCTCGAGGTACGGCTGAACAGAGCCAGCCAGGGCAACCATCACAATGAAGACTTGAATCTAGTGCAGAAAATGCTCGATGATCTAAAAGCCGGCCAGAACAATGTAGCGAAAGAAATAGTGAGCTCTCCCTTCACAAAGGAAGTTCGCCAGGCCCCGTTTCCCTAGGGATTCAGGGCACTAGAAAGTAAGTTCGATGGGAAAACAGATCCTAGAGACCACCTCGACACTTTCAACGACCTGATGGAGCTGCACCAGGTCTGTGACTTGGCAAAGTGTCATTGCTTCGCAGTCATATTGGTAGGGGATGCTAAGAGGTGGTACAAAAGGCTTAAGGCAAACTCCATTAGTTATTGTCAACAATTCTCCTCGCTATACTTACAACAATTCCAAGCGAGGAGACAGTTTGCAATGTCGCTCAACTACTTGAGCAATATTCGTTAAGAGAAAGACGAAACACTGACCTCGTATCTAACGAGGTTTCAAAATGAGCAAGCAAAGGTTGTGGATGCACTGAAGAGTCAATCTGGACTTTGCTAATCGTAGGCATCAGGCTTCAAACGAAGCTGTGGAAAAAGCTCCAAAGTGAAGATCATGTGAGCTTGGCAAAGTTTTACCAAATGGCTACAAAACATCAGCAAGTAGAAAGCTCTAGCCACCTTAGCTAGAAGCTTGCTAAGAAGAGCCCCACACAAACGGCAGGATCACCCAACAGGCAAGCGGAAGGGCCAAGACCGCAATGACAAGGACCAAAACAGGTCCCAAAAAAGATAGAGAACAGATAACCGCGGGGATAGGCAGCCTTTCCCGCGATATGTAGAATACACCCCCTCACTCAAGATACAACTCATATAAATGAAGTCTCTCGTGAGGCTAAGAGACTGCCCGCTCCAAAAAGGATAAGGAGGTCTCTGGGCAAAAAAGATCAGCATAAGTATTGTCAATACCACCGGGGACATTGGGCACAACACCAATGAATGCTAGGCTTTAAAGGACGCCATTGAATATCTGATCCGAAGAGGCCACGTAAAAGAATTTGTTAAGGAGGCATCAACTCGCGAAAATACTGGTGAGCAGAATAATCAAATCCAACAAGCCCCGACAAACGCCAACAATGAAGTTTTGGTAGGAATGATTTACGGGGGTCCCGAAATTGTAGGGAGCTCAGGACGCTCATGCAAGCAATATGCTTGAGAGGCCATAACAGATTTGGTCCCCCGAGTAATGAGTTGTGAACAGAAGCCTCCAAAGCAACCTAGACAAAAGAGCGAGGTGATAGGATTCACAGTGGAAGAATGTGAAGAATCTCCTCATCACAATCATAATGCAATTATAATCACAGCCAGGATTGGCAACGCCTGAGTAATAAGGGTGATGGTCAACAATGGCAGTGCAATAAACATCATTTTCTTGGGGGATTTCCAAGAAATGAGGTTCATGGAGAGAGACTTAAAGGCGTGTCCATCGCCGCTTTATGGATTCACCATGGATAGCCTAGTCCCCAAGGGAACGATTGACTTGCTCGTGAATCTGGCGACAGAACCCAAGATTAGAATAATGATGGCAGAATTCTTAGTGGTGAACTACCTGACCACTTACAATGTCATCATTGGAAGATCGATCATGAATGATCTGAACGCAGTCACTTCAGTGCGTTGCCAAGCAATGAGGTTCTCGACTCCAGGCGGGGTCGCGATGATCAAAAGCTACATAAAAGAATCTCGGGAATGTTACAACCGGGCCATTAATGCTACATTAAAATGGTCACTCCCAAGAACCATGGTCATTGCAGAGTCCGAGCCAAACCCCGGACCCCCGGAGGACACCATATATCCTCACATTCACAAGGAAGAGCCTGTAGCAGGACCAACAGAAGAGCTGCAAGAAGTATCTGTCAAGAAGCAAAACCCAAATCGCGTGCTGAAAATTAGCAGCAGTCTGACCGACGAGCTAGCAAATCATCTAGTAGGGTTCTTAAAGAAAAAACTCAACGTATTCGCATGGGTACATGCGGATATGGTAGGGATCAGCCCCGAGGTAAGGTGCCACTGATTGAATGTCAACCTAGAAGATCAGGTAGAAAAGGAGATCTATGGATGCAGAACAGTCTAAAGCGCTCAAAGATGAAGTTGACAAGCTTCTGAACATCAACTTCATCAGGGAAGTGAAATACCCAGCCTAGCTTGCCAACCTAATCTTGGCGAAAAAGTCGAATGGTAAGTGGCAGACTTGCATTGACTTCACATATTTGAATAAAGTCTGTCCCAAAGACAGCTTTTCACTGCCTCGGATCGACCAATTAGTAGATGCGACAACTGGGAACCCACTACTCAACTTCATTGATGCATACTCGGGATACAACCAAATCCCGATGTATCAGCCCAATGAAGAACACACCTCATTTATTACTGACCGGGCTATTTATTGTTAGAGGGTTATGCCATTCGACTTGAAGAACGCTAAAGCGACCTACCAGCGTTTGGTGAACAAGATGTTCATCGACCAAATCGACAAGACAATGGAGGTGTGCATCGATGACATGCTCGTTAAATCGAAGGTCGCCGAAAGCCACGTTGAGCACTTGGGAGAAATGTTCAACATCCTCAGAAAAATACAAAATAAAACTCAATCCTCTTAAGTGTGCTTTTAGAGTAAGCTCGGGAAAGTTTCTAGGTTTCTTGGTCAATCAGCGAGATGTCGAAGCCAACCCAGAAAAGATTCAAGCTTTTCTGGACATGAAAAGTCCGACCAACATAAAGCAGGTTCAAAGCTTGATAGGGCGTGTGGCCACACTTAGCAGGTTTGTTTCCCAAGCCACACACATGTGTTTACCATTCTTTAAGACCCTAAAGGGGAAAAAGGCTTTCAAATGGATTGGGGAGTGCGAGAAAGCCTTCCAGGAATTGAAGAAACATCTGGGGCACCCTCTTTTGTCAATGTCTGTCCAGGGCGAGCCGCTGCTGCTATATTTATCGGTATCTAAGTTCACGATCAGTGCAACTGTGGTACGTGAAGAAGGGGGAGTGTAGTGGCCAATGTATTATGTGAGCAAGAGGTTGCTCGACTTAAAGACAAGATACCTTGAGATGGAGAAGCTTGCTTATGCACTTGTCATCACCGCTCGGAAGCTGCGGCCTTATTTTTAGAAGCACTCCATGCATGTGCTAACAAACTTTCTATTGTGGAAGATAATGCAGAAACCCGAGGCATCGGGCAGAAGCTCGAGTCATCAGGCAGATTGATTCAATAGATGATGGAAATGAGTCAGCATGATATCAAATACATCTCGAGAACATCAATAAAAGGTCAAGCTTTGGCGGACTTTATTTCAGAATTCTCCTATTAGCCCGAGGGAGAAGTAAGCCCACCAAGGGCAAGCACCTCAGAAGTAAGCGAACAGCAAAAACCAAAGCTTGACAGTCTATGGCAATGAACTATGTATGTAGATGGGTCCTCAAATGAAAAGGGGGCAGGAGCTAGGGTCTTTGCTCGAAAGTCCCAAAGGAAACCCAAAGCCGCAGTCAAATTCAGGTTTGCCGCCTCCAACAATAAGGCTGAGTACAAGGCATTGCTCATATGGATCCACCTCGTTAAGAAAACAGGGGCTGAGTCCATTAAGATTTATAGCAACTCCCAACTCATAGTCCATCAGATTACCGAGGAATATCAAGCAAAAAAGGACAAAATGGCATCCTATCTCCGACAAGTAAAATCCGAGCTTGAGCAGCTCAAGTCCTTTATTATTCTTCAAATCCCAAAGGAAAAGAATTCAGTGGCCAACGCTCTAGCTCACCTAGCATCTGCAATGAGCCAAGAGAAGATTGATTTGATACTTATTAAATTCCTCCCAAGTCCAAACATCCTCGCTCCACAGGAACTAGTCTTAGTAACAGGGTAAAGATACAACTAGATGGATGCAATAATTGTCTACCTAAGAGATGGAATAGTGCCTAAAGGAAGAAATGAAGCCAAAACACTCCAAGCAAAATCAGCTCGATACATGCTCATCAATGACAAACTGTATAAGCGTGGGTACAATTCACTGCTCTTGCGGTGTGTTGACCATGAAGACACAGACTATGTTTTGAGAGAGATCCATGAAGGCAACCGTGGAAACTATGCAGGGGACATATCTCTAGTATACAAGGTACTTCGTTAGGGCTATTACTGGCCAACAATTTTTTATGATGCAGCTGACTATGTGTGTAGATGCGACAAATGCCTGAGATTCGCAGATGTTTCGCGAGCTCTACCTAAGAGTTAACTACGTTGACAAGCCCCTAGTCGTTTACAATTTGGGGCATTGACCTGATAGGCCATTTGCCTCAAGGAAAAAAGGGAGTTAAGTTCGCAGTGGCTACTGTGGGTAAAAGCCAAGCCTTTGGCTGCCATCACATTGAACAAGTTGAAGGATTTCGTCTACAGGAATATCATTTGTAGATTCAGAATTCCCCATACAATAATAACTGGCAATGAGAGACGGTTCGATAGTGAGGATTTCAGATCTTTCTATGAACGACTTGGAATTAAGAAAAATTTCACCACTGTTTATCGACCTCAAGCTAGCAGTCAATTAGAGGTTGTGAACAAAGTGATCAAGCACACAATTAAGAAGAAGCTCGACGCCTTGATAGGAAGATGGGTTGAGGAATTGCCCGAGGCCTTATGGTCTTAAAGAATGACGACCAGAAGCTTGATAGGTGAAACTCCATTCTCTCTATGGTACGGGTGTGAAGCAATGGCCCCAGTTGAAGTAGGGATTAGTTTGTTTTGGAGGAAAGTCTTCAACGAAGAAACAAACGAAGATCTTCTCCCACTGAGGCTAGACCTAATCGAAGAACATCGAGTCAAATCTCAGCTAAGGCTTGCCTCATACCAGTAGTGAGCCAGACATGCTTCAATTCCAAGGTCAGGAACAGGGACTTGAAGTGGGCGACCTAGTCCTCAGAAACGTCATCCAGGGTACCTAAAACCCGAATTTGGGGGCACTTGGGTCCAAATGGGACGGTCCATTCAAAATCTTTGAAAAGCTCGCACTAGGAACCTTCCACTTCGAACACCTCAACGGTGAAACTGTACTGCGAGCATGGAATGCTGAGCATTTACGAAGGTATTACCAATAAGCAACTCAGGTTCTAATCATGCTTTATTTTCTCACTATTATTTAGTGTAAGGTTGTTTCTGGTCAAAATGCTATCAATAAAAAGAGGCATTATTAATGAACTTTACTTTGTTCGGCATTCTTTGTTTATTAATGTCCTATCCATCGCTCATTATTTTTAGTTTCAAAAATCGCAACCTACGCAATCACATCCAAAAACCCGAGTCAAGAGTTTGAAAAAAATGCAGTTTAGCTTGGTAAGCCACACCAAAATCCAACTCATTAAGGGTGAAATTTCCCTAATTGACGAAGTTACACTTGGAAAAATTCAAGTAAAACACATCGAAGGAAAATTGTCATAAGCCAGCAGCTAAGACTCGAGACAGGCAATCAATCCAAACTCAGAGTTGTCACTCAAAATTTTCTTGTATGCATTTGAAAAAGTTCCTCAAAAAGTGAGCTATGTGTAACTTGGAGCAAATTCGAATTATTCATGATAAGTCTAATTAGGACAATCAAAGCGACTCTGCAGAAATTAAAAATTGTTTGACAGATATATGCAAAAAATGTCTTTCATTAATTGTAAAGTTTAGTTACAAACTAAATTAGAAAAAGAAAAGAGAAAAAAAAAAAAAAAAAAAAAAAAAGATTTATAAACAGTTGGAGGAGCGAGGGCATCATTGCCAATAGGATCAGGGAGATCATTGCCAATCTGGGTAGAGGGATTGTCAATGGCAGGAGTCTTGGCAGCCTTTTCAAGGTTGAAAGCTGGGACATCCTTCGGAGCCTTGACCGGAGGAAGGTCGACAGCAATAGGCGGGAGCATAGCCAGGGGAGCCAGATCTTTGACCTCCTACTTAACGCCTGCATCGTCTTCTCCCTCATTGACTTCCTCCTTGCCCTCACATTCGGGCTCGGAGTCGTCCAAGTAAACATAGGTCATCCCTTGAGCCTCGGTCCTCATCTTGTCGACCTTTTTCTGATAAGCCCACAGAAGAAAGGAGAAATCGATCCAGGGATGAGCTTCCTACTATTGGTCGCTAATGGGGTTTATGCAGTGGAAAACCAAAATAAAATCATCAACAACAACATTGAACCTAAGAACCTTATACCCGATTTACATTATTTACATATGAAATGATATTGAATATAAAATTTTCAGATTTCATACCAGCGTTTGGAGACTCCTTCAATCGATACGAATTGCTCCCACTTTAAGATAAGAGTGAACTCTCGGTATCGACACAAAGACAGGATGGCGATCGACTTGCGGTCTCAAGTACTAGCAAGACACACAAGCAAAAAGGATGCATAATTTTTCTTCAAGAAAAATTCTCTTCTCCACCAAGTGAAAAACGTGAGAAAGAGTGAGGTGAGTGGCTTGGATTTTATTAATGTGTTCTCTCATTTTTATTTTTATTTTTAAGTTGCCTTTTATATGCAACAAAAATTAAAACCCTAATCTAGTTAGGAATAAATTTATTCCATGACTAGAATAGTAAATCCTCATTACCAAACAAGGTAATAATCCACATGACATCTTATTCAAATTCAAATATGATTTTCATATCCATATATTATCTTTATTAATATCATCAAATATTAATATTGAATATATATTTAAATTCAGATATGAATTTCATATTTCATATTTCATATACATTATCTTCACTAATATTAATATCATCAAATATTAATATTAAATAATATATATTTATATTTAAATATTTAAATATATGAATATATTTAAATACATAATCTCACTAATTTTAATTTCAATATGAATTTAAATATAGGCAACAACCTCAGTAAATTTAATTGCACTGTGAGATTACCAAAATACCCTTTCATCCATATGGAATCCTCTGATGGGTCTGTCCAGTAAACTTACCTACAGCAAGCACCTATGTGTCACACCAGGTTGTCGGTAAATAACCTTGACAAGTAAAATCAGTCACTATCTTTCAACAGGGTCATTCAACACTATGATAGCCTTACCGTATTATCTATGTCATTGGTCGGAATAATACTGGGGCTACGGACATTTCTAGAATGGCCACCATATGTTATCATAGGGTTCTCACTATCAAGATTTGAAACACTTGATACCCTCATCACGGTTCTTCCATCGTAAGGACATATATCGACATATATCAATACACACAATAATAATTTATATGATATAGAAGAAAGTTGTCTTTTATTGATTAATAAACATTATTTTAGAGAGTCAATTCTACAGTAATTGATTGGCTCTAAGGCACCTACTCTAACACCTACAACTTCTGCACAAGAAAGACCGATGACTCCCAAGCTCGGTTCGTGATGGCCTCGTTTAGCTCATCGACTTCGAGCCTAAGCTGCTCAGTTTCAGCCTCGACCTTTTGTCGACCTTCCGCCTCTTGGGAAAGATCGAGTGAGACCTATTTGAACTTTGCTTCCCAATTTGAGATAGTTTTTTTAGCCGAGGTGAGCTCGGAGTTTAGCTTATTGTTTGCACCTCGATCTCTTTGGCATCAACCTTTGCCCGAGCGGTCTTACTCGCCTGAATCTTGTCAAGGAATTCCCTTTCCTTGACATCGAAGGCTGCCATTTCTTCTTTAAGCCATTCAAGCTCGACCTGTTTCGAGTCCTTCTCCTCTCTACTACCTTGGCCCTAGCCAAGTCATCCTCCTTGAGCATTTATGCTTCCTACCATCCCTTGTGAGTGCCTTCCAATGTGGGGTAACACTCATCATAAAGAAGCCTGCTCGCCACGCAGGCCTAAAAAAGAAAAAATGAAAGTCAGTGAGGAATAAAGAAAAGCGTATATAAAAAAGGGAGAGGGGGGCGAACTACTGATACCTTAGTCATGTAGCTACATACCCAAGCCAGCAGCTGTGGAAGAGACGAATCCCTAATGCTTGCGTAGGTTTGCGGGGTGATGGTGCCCCTGACCGCCGAGGTCCCGACGTCAATACGCTCAGGGAGTTGGTCGATCAGTGCGTCGAGCACAGCTTAAGCTACCTCGTCCATAACTTTGCCTCCTTGCTAAAGCGAGCTTGAGTTGTTTCACACGGAAATGACAGCTTCGCTCGTGGGAACAGATTTCTTCTTGGTTGAGTCCTTGGCCGCGAACTTCTTTGGGTCACTAGCTTGCCTAGCGACCTCTTTGCCCAAGCCACCTTGTTGCTCAGCAACTTTTTGTTTTCCAGTGCCCCTCTGCGGCTCGGTTGACTTTTTCTTGCCGGAGCTATCATGCTGTTCAAGCGCCTTCTGTTTCTGCAAGCCTCAAATTGGCTTGTAAGTCTTCTTCGTCGGCCCCTTTTGGGGCTCGAGGGCACCTTTCCCTCCAACTGCCTTGGAGGCAGTCTTAGGCTTTTTGGCACTTGGGCCTTCCCCAAGCTCACCATCGCTTCATTTAAGGGTCGGGTGCGACGCACCCTGCCCGACCATGCCAATAGCATTTGTAGGCTACTTCTTCGCTAAAGCAACCGGTGGTTTCATGGTAGCCCCAGGCGTTGTCGTTTTCTTCTTCAAGCCTTTTGGTTTCTCAGCCCTCATTTCTAAGAAAGGAGAAGCAAACAATCAATGCCCTACGCAAACAAAAAAAAAAAAAAAAAAAATGCAAGCAAATAAACACTATATTTTTCAAGGATGGTGTTGAAATTGGTGTTGTTCGTGCAAAAGTCGTATGCCCTCAACCGAGGAAGTGAGATAATCTCGTTAACGTTGTGCTCCCTATTGGAGAGATTGCTAAAGCGCTGAAGCCTCTGTAAGCTTGTCGCGGGGAGAAAATTATGCTCGACGTTTATTGC